ACCCCCACCTCAAATTTTCTACCTGGGAAGTTTTTTTTTTTTTTTAAGAGATAAGGAGTACACACATTCTCCACACATGAGCAGTTTCCAGATACTGGGTAATTATTCACCACACTGAACACTACTCAGTATAAACCACAGATAAACGTTAGTGTTTTCGATGAGGGGGCTGGTGGAAATGATTCTCTGAGTTCTCGAGGTTGATTCATGTGCTCTAGTCAAGAGCAGCTTCCCACTAGCTGGGAACAGAGGGAAAATTACATTCACATCTTCTCAGCTCCAGCCACCCACTTGCGGAGATTCCAGGGGGAAGAATTGGAAGGATTAGACAGATTTATAGAAGCAGCCCATACTGTATCCTTGGGAAACGTCCCCTTGTGATAGAAAAGAGGCTTTCCAGCCGCTTCCTGTGGGTTGCAGGCTGATGTTGACTCATGGACACGTCACACCCGTGGGGCTGTTTCCTAAAGAGCAAGAAAGCGAAGTGGAAACAAAGGCCTCGTTTCCCCCTTACTCTCAGCCCGGCTATGGTTTATGCACCGAACTTGCTGAGAACTGGAGGATTTACTTACTATGTGAATTGTTCATTTATTCCAAGGAAGTCAAATACACATGTCCGTGTCCATGTATATGAGTCAGAGTGTAAAGATACATGTGTGTATCATTTAAAGCTGGCTCCTTGGGGAGTTTACCCATAGGAAATAGCATTTTCACCTTGCTCTGATTACGTTATGTCAGTGTTGTGAAGAGTGGGCTGGAGAGAAGTCTGCAACTCCTAAAAAGTTAAATCCTTCAAGAAATGAAACCCAGAGGTTAGAACTTGACTGAGACCTGTAGTTCCAGATAAAATTAGGTGTTAATATGGGTACAGGCATAAAATTGAATATGTTTTTGTTCTCTTTTCTACTAATGGTGATTGCCTCTATTAGGAAATCTACATTGATGGCAGAATAATAAATATTTATTGTATACCACAGACACTTGTGTTACCACAGCCTGTTCACATGATGAAGCAGAGACGAAGAATCTGAAAAAGGGAATTAGTGGCATGAATAAATTTCAGGCGGACTAGTGAGAGACTTCTGGCTAACAGAAGAGAATTGGCAGATAAAGAGCTTACATTGGGAAAGGCTTGTGTGCATACCATCACTATTTCAATCCACTGGAAAGCTGAAGTCATTATATAATATATAATTATATTCATGCTTTGTGATAGATATCCATCATTCGCAGTTTTTTTATTCTGCCCATTAGGAGCCTTATAAATAAGGAAATGGACAAATAATGATTTTCAGATTTGAGGATCATATTTTGAAGGACATCAAATATTCTACACAATGCTGATAATTTTCTAGGGAATCATGAAGGAACAACAACAACAAAATAACATGATAAGTAATTCATATTAGTGGCCACTTTCCCAGACATTGTTTGTGTTTGATCCTCATGAGAATTCAGTGAAGCAGGCTAAGTGATGCTATGGGACTTTTGAAGCAAGGTCATTAAAATACCATATATTTCTCTCCTTGCTCTTAAGATGTTCACTTTTAACCAAACCATGATGCTGTGAGGAAGCCAAGTGGCCACACAAATAGGCTACATGCAGAGGTTCTGACTGAGACCCCAGATGAGAAACAAGATGAACTGCCAGACACGGGAGTAAGATGGGAGTCAGATGATAGCGGCCTCCCACCTGAAGTCATGCCCAGCCTTGAGCCATCCCAGATGAAGCCACGTGTAGCCAGAGATGAACTGTCCGCTCAAACACACACTCAAGATTCATGAGCGGAATACATGGTGACTGCTTCAGTAATAACCATTGTTTGGGAAATTTTGTTATAAAACAATAGATAATTGGAACACAGTCATCACTATCCGTATTTTCACACAGTTGACAATAGCACACTTTTGGCCAAACCACTATCATAACTAGAATATGTCAGAACTAAGATGACTATCCAGGTGATTTAATCTCAAGTCTAGTTCACCTTCCTCTATAACACAAATGGTCTATGAATAAAGCATCTTTTTTTGCAATTAATACGTTGCAAAATTGTGAGCTGTCCTTTATGAATATTAACATATCTACTCATTTTTATTGATTCACTGAAATCTACTAATGCTGTAAAAGTTAGATAATACACAGGCTATTGAAACACATACATTAATATTTCAAACATAATAAAGGTGAAGCTACCAAAGATGATGAGAACAAGGTAATGATAAAAGAACGATTAAAAACTAAGGTATTATAAATTACTTTTTTAAGTTAAAAAAATGAATATAAATTTCAAACTCATTTTTAAATATTAGTACTTAATGACTAACTATAGGTGAAATACATTATCAAAGGTCCAGTTTACTAGACTTAACAGTTTCAAGTCTGAAAGTCAGACTTGGTTACAAGACAATGATTAGTACTTACTCTCTTTCTTTCCATAAGATTTGTTGGAACTCATCCAAGTGCACCTGCAAAGCCGAAATTTCAGACACTCTATTCTCCAGAGGCAGATTTATTGCTTGCAGTCTTAATCCAGGTCTCATTGCACAATTTTCAGAACCACCATTCTTGAATAAATCAGGACAATCTAGATTGAGTTTCATCTCATTTAATCTTAGTGGGTCAATAACTGAAACTTCTTCCTGAAAGACAAAAAATACAAAACAAGTTTGTTGAATTTAAAAATCTAATGTAGAAAAGTCATGGAGAAAACATATTTTTGGCAGAAAATTAAATGTAATGATTCGGAATCAAATTCACATTTTCATTTATTTATCATTCTCAAATAGTGTTGTATGACCCAACTTTAACTTATATTCTCAGGCTCATTTTTTCTTTCTGTGCTCTACTTTATTGTAATAAAATACAGCTCCCTGCAGTCTTTTAAAATTTTTCATTTACAATGGAATCTATGTTATAACTACCATAAATCCCTTACATCACGGAAAGGCTTAACATTTTAGATGGAATTATATAAGAGCAAGATACTGATTTTATGTTTTTACAGATGGAATTAAATAGAAAGGGGTAAAAATATAAATGAATTTAAAGAGATAACATGAATTCCTAAATTTTGCAAAGTATATTTCATGAGTTGTTAATAGTATTTACAAGATTTAAAAAACTATGGAGGATGTTTTCATTGACAGATAAATGTACAAACTGCTAAATTAAAGTTTTAAAAATTCTATTGTGTACAAAATTCTCTGAAACTTCAAGATTCAAAGTATACCAAGAAAATCCAGGAGTGGATGGTGTGAAGTGTTCCCTAGATGCATTTGCCTATGGTACCCATTTTACAGGAATTCATTGTGAAGCCAGAGTCCCAACCCTTGGGAGATGTTTAAACTACTGTTTGGATAATTTGTTAACAGTGGCTTACTACGATAAACAGAGAGAAATCTCTTTAAACATTTTCTTCTAACATAAAAAAAATACTGGGTTAATTTTGGATAAAATATTACTGATATCAGTAATATGGGCTGAATTCTGTCTCCCCTGAAACTTACACATTGAAGTCCTAACCCCCACCCTCCCCATCCTGTGCCTCGGAATGTCACAATATTTGGACATAGGGTCTTTAAAAAGTAATTAAGTTAAAATAAGGTCATTAGGGTGGGCCTAGTGATGGTATCCTTGTAAGAAGAGGAGATTTGGACGGCGACATTCACAGAGAAAAGGCGACGTGACGACACAGGGAGAAGACGGCCCTGCTGACACCTGGATCTCACACTTCTAGCCTCCAGAACTGTGAGAAAATACATGTCTGTGGCTGCCCAGCCCGTCCGTGGTACTTAGCTACCACAGCCCAGACAGGCAAGCCCAGCCAGCGCTGGATGGCTGTTCCCCTCCCCTCCCCGTTACCACGTGTGGTGTTCAAATACGCACATAGTCCCTGGGTGCCTCTGGATTTTTTTCTGACCTTACTATTTGTGTTCTCCTTTGTAGGAAATTCTCTCTTTCCCAAACACTCTCTGATGGACTCACACATTTTGGGACCAATTTGAAATGGGTTTCTCTGTGCATACGCCACGTCTATGAAACTAGCAAGCTTCGGATCCTGGGAAACCCTCGTTTCCAACTCCTCCTTTTGATGTGACGGACTTTGCTGCTTTTTCAGGGCACTCAGTTCCTTCATGGCCAACTCTAATTTCATTCTGAGTTGTCTTCCTTCCTCTCTGGCGCTGTTCCTTTCAGCTCGAACTTTACTCCACTTTTCTCTCCAGTTGGCAGTGCAGTCTGACCACCACCGCATGGTCTTCTCCATCTGAGCCGCTCTGGCCTTGACCTCCTCCAGTTCCCGCAGGCGGAGCTCTTCACAGAGATCCCAGTCGCTGGTGCTGCACCAGCGAGCACAGAACTTGTGACCGTGATGCGATTGCAGCCCATAGAGTGGCAAACAGGAGCTACAGGTGTCCCTGGGGGACGAGGCAGGCGCTGCCAGGTCACAAACTGGTTTAACTGATGTCGGCTGCATCTGGAAGATCTGTGTCTCCTCAATTAACCGATGAATGGAATCTAAATTCATATTTATCTTCTCATGCCTAAGGAAAGACAGAGAACGTAGTTACATCTGAATTTCCTCTGCAATTATAAGAGCAAGCCCTACATTTAAAAAAGAACGTTGATGAAAACAATGCATCTTTTCAATATTGCGTATTTTCCTTCCCACTAGAACTAAAAAGGTAGAGCAATTTATGCATTTGCAACTAGACGCAAAGAATCAGAAATTGCTCATATTTAATTTTGCCAAACAAATACAAATAAATATATAAAGATGCAAGTGGGGATAGCATATGACATGAATTATTCATTTTAACAAATATAGTTCTTCCCAGGTAAATATTTATTGCAACACATATTGTCCATTAACTACTCAATGGTCCCATTCCCCCTGCTAGCTGAAGCACAACTTGTTCAGGTGGAAGGCAGAATCTGTTGATCTCTGGGAGGATAAGCCCCCTATTCCCACCCCAGGGGCTAAATTGTGATTGTTCTAAATCTTCCTTGATTCCATTTAATTCACTATTTCCTTCCTCCCTCCATTTAATTTACCATTCACTGGTCTTAAAGCAGCATAGGACCTGGTTCCGGCTGATGACATGGGAGGGCAAGTCTACTAGAGAAGTTTCCCATCTAGCAAAATGTGAAAACTTCAGAATAAAAAAACCCTTTTTCCTCTGCTTTCCTCCCGCCCAGAGACACGATTCCGGAAGAAGGCAAGTGCAACAGCCACCCTGTAATGTGAGAAGTGGTGAAACGGAAGGATGCAAAGAGCTTGAGGGCCTGGGTTCAATTTCCAGTACTGTCATTAAAAAAATAATTAAATAAACAAACCTATCTACCCCCCTTCCCCCTCAAAAAACAAAACTAGAAAAAACAACAAAACTAAAATAAGCACAAATGCAAACATTTTAAAACATGCATATTTATGTTTTCCAAGAGTCATTATTGGATTATAAATTGCATTTATCCGATCAGATAGAAATTATCTTTATCTTAAAGAATTAGCATGGAATTCACGTGATAAGCCCTGCTTTTTTCTTTTAGCCGACTATTCATTCCTTATCTCTTTAACTTATTATTATTGCCAACAATTGTGGAAGCCATGTATCACTGTTTTAAATCAATGCGATGTTTTTTTTTAGTCTAGGTTTTCAGGAAAAATTATTTGAGAAAAAATAATGTTTCTTAGTTAATGCTCACTAAAAAATTAACCTCATTTTTTATAAAATAAACTATTTCAGAATAATCTCTCCTCATAGCATCTTGATGTTACTGCTACCATTTCCAGACAATAACGTGTTTTCTATACTTCAAGAAGCTAAAAAGAAAAAAGGTTCACTACATTAAAATATTAACCTTTCAGGTCATAGGTAAAAGTGATCAGTCTTACTTTTTTGGAATATGAGTAAAGGAATAAAGAAAGATCCAAAATCCACAATCCATTTTATAAAGTACCAATGTATCATTTGGAATGAGCCTTAGAAAAATAAAATTTCTGCTTTCTGGCAGGCTGATCATCTTGAAGCTTTTATAGTGCTTTGCCTGCCAACCACAAATTTAGGTTCCGATAATTTAGAATTTCTTGGAGGATGTAACACAATTTAACTGCTCTTATGTAGTACTTGGGGTGTCAATCAAGTTCAAGAAATTTCTGTTTAAAATATCCCTGAAATGTCTTACCACTGAACAAATATTAAGACATAAAGATTTTTATCCGAGATTGGAGTTTACAGCTTAAGTATATTTCTTCTAATAATACAGATTAAATCTATGTTACTTACTACCCATTTGTTTGGAAGCCTGGCACTTGTTGAATTCCTTAGCATTTTTTAATATTTATGTGTATTTCAAGGATTCAGTGAACAAGGCCACAAACTATTCCAATTTTCTCATGCAATCTAATACAACTTAATAGTGCCAAGTAAGTAAGCCAAAATATTCCTTGAGACCTTAAGCCAAAAGTTGAAATTAGTATTAACTGTGGTCAAACTATAAAGACCAGTTGAATCTTACTTTCATTTAAGAATAACCTTGCTCCTGTTTCCAGGTGCCTAAGAGTCAGAGCACACATTTTATTGGAAAAAATAAAGCAAAAAACTGGTCATGTCAAAGACGTTGTCACTTCCCTGATTCGGACAGGTGATCCTGCACCTGGAATTTACATGGCTAGGTATATACCATTTTGTATAATTTCATAGAGATTAAATAATATAGAGAAGAATGTAACTGTATACATAAGTACTGGTTAAAAAGAAATGAATAAAATTCAGAAGAGCACATAGCCAACAACTCAAAATTTTAATTAAGTCAGAACATGAGGGCAAATTACCCTGTGAAGTAATTCCTGTTACAACTGCACAGCAAACCAAGCAGTGCTAAGTGAGAGGAGCTATTATGTTTTTCATGTTCCCCGCTTGCTCTTTATATAAAAGCTATTCATTTGTTAAAATCATAGATTTTCTTTAATATTGAATTCATCAACATTTTCCAATATTTATGTCCACTTTAGGGTTCTGGTGAACAAAACCACAAACTATCCCAGTTTTTCTGTGTGTTTCCGGAGCAGAATTCCTGAGCCATTTATCCCATTCACACTTGCTCTTAAAGACGTGTGCGGCTAAGTCAGAAGTTCTCCATGGATCTGGCTACACTTTGTCCTGAACCAGAGGACGTGTTTTCATGTCAGTGTGACTCAGCCATGTTTTCTTACACCCGTTTGATGGAACCTGAGCAGTCACCCAGATACTCTGTGTCAGCTGACTGGCAAGTGTTCACAGGCTTAACAATGGAGTTTGGAGAATACAACCCAAATGACTGTCATATTGACTTTTGAAATGCGGTTATAAAATTTTTTAATAAGGATATGCATTCTAAAGTTTAGTTTGATTTTCCCAACAGCACATTCTTTACATTAACAATCCAAATTGGCTGAAATGTATCCCACAACAAAAAGCAAAGAGAAAAAATTGAAATCGGAAGCAGAGATGCTATAATTAGAAGTTTGTGAGTTGTATCTATGCATAATATTTCAAATTCTTTGCCTCATTCACCCTACTTCTTACTGAAGCAAAGAAATATTCAAATAAAGGCATATATGATAATGTTTGTTAAGCTTTATTTCTTATGCATGATCTGGAATTTAATTTTTAGTGTAAAGAGCTATGACTAATACGGGGTCAAAGATTAAACTCACTTCAGTTTCACATGGTCTGGCACCAGCCTCCCTCCCTGACCTGGATTCCTATGCCTCATCCCTTCCTTCCCCCACAGCTCCAGTCATGCTGACTTTCTTCTTGTTCTTTGAAGTGGCCAGACTCATTCCTGCTTTGGGACCTCTAAATGGAATTCTCTTCCCTTGGATCCTTGGATTTCAACATGTTCTTCTGCTCTGAATATTTAAAATTGTAAAGGCACTGAAGGTTGAAACTAAGAGGGTAGCACGCTAACAGAAAACATTCAAGCACCAAACTCCAGGTCTATAATAAAATCTGTGTAACGAAACTATTTTAAAAACAATTTTTAATGTATATTTTACATGATGCTCATGGGAGTGGGTAGGTATGGACCCTTCTTGTGCTTCTTATAATAGAAAAATCTAAAAGCCAGGCAGACTGGGTAGAGAAGAGAAAGGTAGAAAGGTGGCAGGAACACTCCATGCCCCATCCTCACATTCTTAGTCTCAGAACAAGGTTTTCTTTTGGAGCCTAGCTTTCCCCCATCGACACAACATTAAATAGCTTGTCCAAAAGGAGAAAATTAAAAGAATTAAGGTGTTAGTACCCTACAGGTGCCTTCTCAAGCCACTTCAAAAAATATATATGATACATACATGAGTGTGTTATATATATACATGTGTATATGTGTGTGTACACACAATGTGTGTATACCTATACACATACAGAAAACACATATTTTAACTGGGTTGTATATGATTTTAATATACATTGTTTAGCAGATTGAACTGCACCTTGGTGTATATTTAGGAATG